AAGCCTCATAGGAGAATGGAAAGTCAATTCCATAGAAGGAAAAGAGAGGAATTATGGCCTGCATGAGCTGCTAGGGAATTAAAAAGTTAGAACATTCCTAATTCGGTAATTAGATAATATTCATATAATCATAATATATATATTAAATTTAATATTTTAAAAAAATATTTTGATAAATTAATTTTTTATTTATTAATAATTAAATTAATAAATTATTAATTTATCGATTAGATAATTAATCAATACATGTATTAAATTCAATGTTTTGAAAAAAAAAATAAAAAATAACTCTTGAATTGGTTTTTTATTAATTAATAAATTTTATTTTGATTAATATACAAATTATTAATTAATGAATAAATTAATAAATTATTAATTTATTGATTAAATAATTAATCAATATATGTATTAAATTCAATGTTTTGAAAAAAAAATAAATTCAATATTTTATTAATTAATTAATCAATACATGTATTAAGTTTAATGTTTTGAAAAAAAATAAATTCAATGTTTTGTTAATAAATTTATTTTAATTAATGTGAAAATTTTCAATACATGTATTAAGTTCAATGTGTTAACTAATTAATCAATACATGTATTAAGTTTAATGTTTGGAAAATAAATAAATTCAATGTTTTGTTAATAAATTTATTTTAATTAACATGAAATTTTTCAATATATGCATTAAGTTTAATGTTTTGAAAAAAAATAAATTAAATGTTTCGTTAATAAATTTATTTTAATTAATGTTTAAAAAATGAAAGAAAAAGACTATTTAAAAAGAAGAAAAAAGAATGAAATGTTTTGTTAATAAATTTATTTTAATTAATGTTTAAAAAATGAAAGAAAAAGACTATTTAAAAGGAAGCGAAAAGAATGATTGGAAGAAAATGCGGTGAGCGTGGATCGAACACGCGACCTTCAGATCTTCAGTCTGACGCTCTCCCAACTGAGCTATCCCCGCTTTTGCGGACATCATATCATTGACTATTTTACTTATAAAATTACTTGCAATAAGAGGACAAGGTTTTACGAAGGAAAGATGAAAGTGAAGCAGCACTTCCCACCGTCAAGAAAATTCTCAGCAAATGGTTTCATGTTTTGCTGGTGGCTGTTATCATTTGATAACTAGATACTTGTATGCAAGTTTACTTCAAATTATCAAAAGGGCAGTGAATGACAGGGTTTCCACTAACCTAAAAGATGTATAGGATTTTACAGTAGAGTTCTGTCAAAAATTACAATTGCACTGGAATTACAATTATTGGTCAAAATTCCATCTAAAAAGATTTAAAAAAATTATTGGTTGGAAAACTGCCGTTGGATTCTATTCCTAAAGGTTAAACTCATGAAAGTACAGCAGCCAGAAGCTAAAGTTCTGTCAAGATATCATCAAACTGGATATCAACAGAAAGCACACGTGGCACGCTTCCAAAGGATAATGGAAAGAAGTAGAAATTAGGAAACTAGCTCAAAATGTCCAAAGAAAAATCTAGGTAGTATTATTAAGCCATGAAAGTCTCAGTACACAATCCAAAGCCTGTTCTTTCCTAAAACTTGTCAATGACAACACTTTTACAATTCTCCCTTACCTTCTCATCCGTCAGTTTATCAAATGAAGAGTTTTCTGAGAAACCCTTTTGCTGTTACTCTCTAAAAGGACCCAAAGTTGCTTCTTTGCAGCAAAGAAGGTTCAAGTTGGGAGCTTTCAGGGGGCAAAGATGGAGTTTTGGGGAAGTGGGTAGGGGCAAAGATGGGATTTTTGTGAAAGAAGAAGGGTGGAAGAGGAAGAAAAGAGTGGTTTTGGTGAGGTTTAATCAAGATTTTGGGTTTAATGGTGGTGGCGGTAGTGGAGGTGGTGGTGGTGGTGGGAAATTTGATAGTAACACTGCTAGGCTTCTGGGAAATATTGCTGTGGCTATTGGATTGACTTATCTTTCAATGACTGGTCAGCTTGGCTGGGTTTTAGATGCTATTGTCTCTATTTGGGTATTAATCTCTCTCTCTCTCTCTCTGTCTCTTTATATGTATGAATGTGAAATTTAGCTTATTATTGTTTTCTTGGCATGAATCATATGTATGCAGTGTTGGAGATATAATTAGGGTACTGAGCAGAACTATAGTTCCCCTTCTTCCTGGTTTTGTTTGCCCAATATCCGGATGCTTTGGTTGAGCATTTCTATTCAAAGATCAAATTATTGTTAATATTTTACTTGTTTCAGGGTGCTTTTGTAGTTGGGCTTGATAAATTGCCTGCATTTCTTTTACTTGATATATGATAACTATAGTTATCTTCTTTTGCCTTGCATTTTTACTCAATTTAAGGTATCAGAAGTTGTTCTTGTGTACCGATTTTCTTGTTTTGCTGAAAACTTGTAGCATTAGCTGGCATGTAAAGTATCACCATTTGCCTTGTGAGACCATCTTGGATATAGTATTGCTTCTACATATATATATATCAGTTAAAAATAGTATTGTTGATATTGACATTAGTAATTGTAGTTGCATCTAATGACTGATATCTTCATTTTCAGCTTCTTGCAGTTCTCGTACCTATTGTAGGTTTGGGAGCCTTCCTCTGGTGGGCAGGCCGAGATATTGTTCAAAGCAGTGTGAGGCTTCTTTAACTTTTGGTTGCCTGTTCAGTTTATAACACCCTGGTTTCTTTAATTGTCTTTCTATGGGTTTTATAGATCCTCCACCTTAGAAGTTGCAAGAACTAATATTCGAACGGCTACTTTCTATACCTAAAGGCAATAGAACATGTCTGTCTAAACCAATGGTTGAAGCCTTCTAGTTGCATATCTTAGTCAATGTGGTCAGTAGCTTCTGCAACAGTTCAAATCTTTTCATTCATGCTTATGAAATTCTATAAATAGGTGTTTTATTGAGAGATGGTCTGAACTCATTGGTTTGATATGTCCATTGATGAGTTTTTCCATTAATCTGTGTCCATGCACTTATTTTGGTTTTCTTCCAAAAATTAATCGAAAATAATGCATCAGGGGTCTATGAATCATGAAAAACTGGTACTAAACAATGCAACCATATTACACTGCATAACGGAAAACAAAAAAAAAACAAATGAAGCTGGTGGCCATTTGAAATATTTAAGGGAGGATCAAGTGCACATTGTGAATAACTTTCCCTCATAAATGAGTTCTAGCAACAAAGTTCTCATCATGTGCTGCTGTGCTATTACGATGTTTAGGTTGGACACTCACTTTCTGTGCTCATAAGTATCAAATATCTTCATGTTTTGTTTTCTGAGACACAGCTCTGATTTACTTGGTGTTCTTTATAATGTGAACGAATATATGGAAATTTGTTTACTATTGACTGTAGTATCTGATTTGTTTGCAGTGCCCAAACTGTGGAAATGATTTTCAGGTTTTCAAGTAAGTGCAATGAACAGCTCTAAGCTCACCTTGCGAACTGATGGGAAATTTATGAGATTGTTTTGTAATTCATCTGACAAGGACAGCAATGATGATTTTTTGCAGGTCTTTTCTAAATGATGAGTTGCAGCTGTGCCCTTACTGCAGTCAACCATTTTCAGGTGAAACTTTGATTTACCAATTTCAGTTGAAGCTAGAATTGACGATCTACGAAAACTATTTGACACTCTAATCCTTACATACACCACTATTCCATTGGATATGGTGGTTAAGATTTTTATGTTTATTGATACATTTTGGCTTATAGACTCATGAAGATGTCTCCATAGAGTAGGCAGGAAGGATAATCTGGCTAAAGTTGTAGTGAGCCTGTCTAGCTTTTCTCTGTTGCATTTGTTACTTTGAGTAGGATCTACATTCTTTTCATGTGTTTTTGACAATTTGATTTCATTGCAGTGGTGGATGACAAGTTTGTCAAGGAACCTGTAAAGTTCTCCAACCAAACTTCAAAAGCAGAACAAGCATTCAATGGCTTCTCTCCTGGATTCAAGAAAGGTTCCCTCTTTAACACCTGCTGCCATTTTTGCATTTCAGAATCTTTGTTATTTTCTGGAGGATTTAGTGTTAACTGTCATGAATGGTGTTGTTATAAATGGACATCCACCATTTAAGGATAAGATAAGTATTTCAGTCTAAGTTCGCCAATTTATGAATTCTGGGTATCTTGCGTGGTTTGTGCAGGAAAGGATTCTTCAGCTGCAGTTGTTGATGTTGAAGCAGAAGTAAAAGATGCAGACTGAGGGCTATCATACATGGTAAAGAACTTAAATAAATAGTTTACTTTGAGCTTTTGGTACCTAGCCAGGGACGAAAGAAAACTTTTAAGTTCTCAATATCTTTATCATTTGATAGATAATTTGCTAATGCTTCAGTATAATTTCATGTAAGAATCTTTTCTTTGTTTCCTTTCTGCAGAAATACACATTGCTGCAAAATAGGTGCAATCTTGTTCAAGTTAAACAACTTATGCATATTAATATATCTTTACACTAGCATCATGGAGATGACTGCAGTAAAGAGAATTCATGAATCATCATGCTGTAGATGAAGACCAAGAATGTGACATGGCAAATGTTCCATCAATTTTGACAAAACATGTGGCATAACTCTTGTATTTTATTCTTTCGTTGCTAAGTAAAAGGTGAACGAATAGTTTGCTTATGTTACTGCACAGCTATCTCTAGCATAACTCTGTATATAGTCTGTTGTCACCTACCATCTTTCTTTGCTTCCATCCTCACCTTATTAATTGAGCCTTTAAGAATGAACTAATAAACCAATTTGATTTGTAAGAAGGGTTTTGTTTGAACTATCAATGGTTAGACCTGCTGAGAGAGCAGCTAATAAAACAAACTTTTTGCAAATGTTCATCTTTGACTCTTAGATGATTGGATTTTTCACTGTCCATTAATATCTTTCCATGCTTATTGCAAATAACTTTTGCATGTTCGGTTGGTGTTAGAATTTGGCAATGGTTTTTACTGTCATGGACTCTCTTTGGACAAGTCTTGAGATCCAAAAGATGGTACAAACTTATGAAAGTAGTAGAGATTATTCTTGCTTTGGTTGGATGATATCCAAATAAAATTTCTCATCGTGCTTCAAGTAGAGAAGGTAGAAACACACCATGGCCAAGTAGCCATGCAACACTGCCATGCTTTATAAATGGAGTAACCCCAGTAAGTGCACAAAACTGTTCATGCAGATGGCTTGGAACTAGTACATGAAGAAGACAGGTGATGAAGTCCAAGAACACTGACATTGAAGGGGCTGCCAGAACTGCCCTAGCCCCTAGGAGGCCCCAAATTGCTTGGTTTTGAAGAAAATGAACCTAGATCAAATTGTTTTGCAGACAATCTGTCCAAAGTTGAGCACTTTACTTAGCAACCCCCTGCTGCTGTGTATTTCTGCTGAATTCCAAGTCCAAGGTCAGAAAGACCAAAGCTATCAAACGTAAGTACAAGATTAACTCCACTATGTCGCCATCAAGACATGAAATTTCTAGGGTTGAAATTATTGCACCCGGTGAATCTACTTAGCAGCTTCCTTGTTTTTCCTTATTGAGAAGAAAGACCAGAATTCTCTCTCACCTGCTCACTTTTTCCTTCAATTCAACATTTCCTTTCATTTTATATTGAAGCAGCTTTAAGGGAAGTCACCAAGAAACCTCTGGAATGACTTGCATTGACTTTCCCACTTTTAAATACACTGGGTCAGGTTTAGTGTTTCTCAAAGAGATCAGCTACTGCTAAGATGCTATTTTCTTGAGCTTTCCTTCTTTTACAAATTTAACCAAGATCTTTTGGGAAAAAAAGTATCAGATCAGTTAGACCGGGCAAGGTACACTATCTACTCTTTTGCCATATTCTTTAGAATCTAACCATTTATGACTTCTTTGTCTGTCTTTTTTTTTTTTTTTCCCTGTTATTTCCTTTTCTTTGGCTGGGTAATAAGGATGCTAATAGTCAAGAGTGATTAAAGAAGGAAGAATAGCACCAGGAACTTTTCTTGGTTTGATACATATATCCACTTCCAACAATCCTTAATTTCAAGTTAATAATATTTCTGATTTTTCCTTCTCTTATAGTAAGTTTTCTTTCCCATAATATCTGCACAAGGAGCAAAGGGAGCAACTTCAGAATCGAGCAGAAGCACAACTTCATTAACTTTTTATACTTGGAACCAGCATGGCAACGTTCTCAAAGACACTAAAAGCAGAGGACTTAAAGAAAGGTTTATTGATCCCTTCTGGTTTCATGGACACCCTTCCCGGAGATGGTAAAAATTTCTATATACATGCAGTTGATAACGATGGAAAAGCTTGGAAATTTCCATGCTTCCTTGAGCAAAGTGTGAGGGGATTTGGTTGTCTTGAATTTGTTGGCCGTAAAGATGCCAGAGCAAACCCATCTGCTGTTTCTGTTCGTTGGCTTGCATTTATTCACCGCAAAGATGCTAGAGTTGGTGATAAGGTTTTCCTTCACCAGGTATCCATGGATGACAATCGTATGGAGATGCAGTTGAGAATTGAAGTGAAGAGAAAAATAAGATTGCTTGGTATGGATGTGTGGGCTGTGATTTAGTGTGACTGAGCAAGCAAATGCTACATATAAAAGAAACATGGACAAGGTGCTATCCGTATATACTGTTTTCACTTTTGTCCTAATCCAAATGCATGTATAAATTTTTCCTATCCATGTTGTTTATGATAACATTTTTAATTGGAAACCTAGCTGAAAAATATTTCATCAAGAGGGTTCTTTCTCTTACACTAAATGTTTAGGAAAGGGTAGGGAAGGAGAAGAAATGGAGGGAAAGGAAGAGAGGGGGAAGGAGAGGATAAAGTTCTTGTTTGGATTTGTTAAAAACGGAATGGAAAAGGAATGAGTGAGGCACATTGCCAACCTAAAACGTTTATTTTGATCAAGCAGAGAAGAGGGAAAGAAAGGATAACAGATCATAGTCTTTTTCAATTGTAGACATACCTATAAAATACTAACAACACTTTCAAGATTTCATAAACTAGATATTCAAACCTTTTTAACATTCAAATTTAACATAATTCGAGTTTTTATCCAATTCCAGGAAGATATGAATCCTGCTGTTTGCAGTTTTCTTCTGAGTTCCACCATTAAACAGGACTTAAGCCTGAAGATTCAGGCATCTACAGACTACAGATGCAGCATAGGATGAAAACAACCACAGTAGAAACTATCATTATCATCTTTTTTATTTCTTTTGGTGATAGGACCACAAGAGACATTAAAAGAAGTGCTGACAGTCACCACCATTATTCTGAAGAGTCATGTACATGACTAAAACTGCTTAAAACTAGACCATTATATACAAATAGGAAGACATTCTCACCATGTATGCTAATTAACTTACTTCCTCTTATATATTCAGACCATGTAGAGCTTATGCCTATGGCTGTCCAACCTTCTGCATAAAGAGAAAAAACAAGACAGAACTAGTTTAAGAGGTTTTTTTTTTTTTTTTTTTGAGTTTATACTTAAAAAATTTAAATTTCCAGGTAACAAAAAATAAGTAAAAAGGGTTAAAAGAAAGAATTGACTACCTCTTCCTTCTTCCCTTCCTTCTTGCCTTTGGTGAAATACTTATAACCTCCATAAAGGAGCAAACCCCACCCTGTTAAAGAAACAATCACAAACTGCAACAAATAGAAGATATAAGAATCATACAAAAAAGAGAAAATTTAAGCAGTTTAAAGAACTGGGTTTGAAACAAAAAAGCAAATTAAACAAATTAATACAAAAGACAAAACAAAACTCACATGCTCTTCTTTCCATCTAGATGGCTTCATGGGGTCTTGCCAAAAATTCACCTTTGGAGGTCCATGATGATCTGCAACACAACCCAATCATCAAAAAAGCTCAAATTTCTTTTTTTTTTTATTGAATTAACATAAAAAATATGATTTTTGTTGTCATTGATTTAAAATGATGATGGAAGTGTGAGAGTCGAGTACTACCGCCACCGCTGGCGAGGCCCCTCCTGTGGATGAGCGAGGCAGCTTGAGGAGTTGCATAAGCCGACTTAGGTGAGGAAAGCCGTGCCAGATTGGCGGCCTGGCGAGCCCTGGTGGTCCAAGCTGACATGGTTGCGGTGCTGGCTGTTCTGCTCGTTGAAGTGATTCTGAGAGTGTTTATGGAAGTGCACAGAAACTACAAGAGAAGTGAAAACGACAGAACTTTAACCTGTTCAATTTCATGAAAGGACTGAATTACCCTTTAAGTAATGTGTTTATTATTATTGTTTTTAGATTATTTTGGGTAATATATAAGATAGGAGAGATCAAATATTTCTAGTTCAATTTACAAAGCCATAGAGATGTTTGCGGTCAATCGCAAGAGATCAAATAATCTACAGAAAAAACAGAAAAGGCAAAACAGATTCCTAAATGTAACTATGCAATGCAAATTTCAGATAGAGAGAGTCCTGCAAGAACCACATGAAACTATAGTCCAAGATTCAGGTGCAACCAAAGATGTTGCCGCTTTCCAGGAAAAGCAATAGGTTAATTGCCAGTCTGAGAGTGTGTCCAGGCACTTTCTAATCAAAAGCTCTTGTAAGCAACAAAGGGTGAAAGGACATCCTTAGCAATGGGGTCGTCCCATTCCACTGATTCCCACCATTCTCTAGGCCATATACACAGTTCTTTGAGGGAGGGAGGAGGGGATGGCTGCCCATTATCAAGCAAGGAGAGAAACAAAGGGATCCTCTTTAGTTTAGGACATCCTGTTATCCAAAGATATTGAAGAGAATCTGCACGAATCATAGCTCCACTCCTGCAAAAGCTTTTCAGTTCTGGTAAGCAGATCAACCACAATTCTTTTAGTTTGGGAAGCATGAATGTTGTTTCATCGGCACCCCTTCCTTCTCCTCCTTCAGTTTCTATTATTTCCTCCAAGTTTTCACAAGCTCTAACTTCGATTTCCTCTAAGTTTTGGAGGCTCTGCAACAGCTCAACTGTAAACAACTTCTTCATCCTTGAACATTCTTCCAAAACAAATATCTTAAGAGAAGAGAAGATGGCAGGCGGTTTTGGAGGGCAAAGAAGCAGATACAACTGCTACACGTACTCTAACAAGTTCAAGCAAGTTGCACAATTCCTTCAGAAATAGCAGCTCAATGCTATGAAGCGAGTTGCAAGACGATATGACAAGTCAAGCACACACTCTATCCCTTCACACTCACTAATATAACACTCTTCATCTCATTTGCTTTACGGAACAAAGGGATATTACTCAAGCTTATCAGACCATGGCAGTTCCTAATATTCAGAGACTGAAGGTCATATGGCAGTGCTACATGGTCTTCTTTCCCCATCTCACAATTTATAAAATTTATCTCTTTATAATATTCAGGTTTCTCAAAATACTTGATCAAGTTGTAATCGACTTTAGGAGGCCAAAGTGATCCCACTCCAAGCACATAATTAGTAGGCCATTGACCCAGTAGAGACTTGGCGTATTTCTGAAAGCCTTGCCAGTCATAGAATAAACCTGCAAAAGTCTCTAGCTTCCTCAATTTGGCTACTTCCTCACCTCTTAAACACAATGTGGTTGTCAAGTATTGGAGATGGGAAAGCTTAGGTAATATTCCTTTCGGTAGCTCCTTTAGACTCTCTGAATATAAACCAAGATATGTGAGGTGTACTGACATTTCTATGCCATGGGGGACCTCTTCAATAGCTGTATTAAAGAGGTCTAACTTTCTCAATGCTCTGAGCTTTGCCAAAGAAGGCACATCTCTTAACTTGACACAACCTCGAAGTACAAGGGAAACAAGGTTTTCCAAGTTGGAGATGCAACTGGGGAGATCCAAAATGCCAGTATAAGACAGATCTAGAACTTGTAGCCCACACATGTGCTCAAAGAAAGACTCTGAAATCCTCTTTATTCCACCATTTTCTTGCAGCAGCAAAGTTGACAAGAAGTAGCATTTTGGTGATATGTCCTGAGGAATTTCTGATATTGAATTGCGCATCAAAGAAACCTTGTCAAGATCCCCTGTCCATTCATTCTCACCCGGAACTTCATTCAATTGCATTCCAGCTTTCACCATGAATCGAGGACCGATGCTTTTATGGACAATGCCATGTCTCTCAAAACATCGTGCATCTTGACTCCTTCCTCCTGAAACAAACTCTGAGTTTGACACCTCTCTAATAAACAATGGTTTTCAAGCTTATTTAAAATACAATGCCCTTGATCATACATGATTTGTCTACTCTCGCATTCATCAATGAGTTTCTCGTCTATCCACTTTTCTATTAATTCTCTCCTCCCAATTGCATAATCCTCAGGATATAATGAGCAATAGGAAGCAATTTTGGATTCTCGATCTCCCAAACGTTCATAACTAAATATCAAACACTCGAATATGTCAGCTTCTAATCCTTTCACACTTTTCAAACGTCCACGTAATCCATTTAGTGCATTCCTCCACTCACGGACATCTTCCACCCCCTTCATGCTACCTGCTATTGTAACAATGGCAAGCGGCAAACCTCCGCACTGCTGAACAATGAGCTTCACAGTTTCTTTTAAAGCTGGAAGCTGTAGAACACTACGCCCTACTTGATTCAAGAATAAGTGCAAGGACTCCTCCTCTGAAAGAGGTTGCATTCTGAGCACCTTACAACCATGGATAAACAAACATCAATTAACCTGCTAGTGATTACCAATTTGCTTCCATTCTGTAATGTTGGTTCAGGGATTCCCACATCCAATAAAGAAAACCGTTTCCAAACATCATCTAAGATCAACACATGTCTCTTTGTTTTCAAGATATTCATCAGTTCGGTTGCTCGTTCCAATTCATCTTCAGGAAGACATCGACTCAAACCCCAGAGCAATATCTTGCTGTAACTTGATAACATTGAGTTCTTTGGATACGGTGACCCAAATCACTTTATCAAACCGTGTCTCCTTCAACAACTGATTGTTGATATGTTTCATGACCGTAGTTTTCCCTATTCCACCCATTCCACAGACTGCAATCATTCCAACCTCGTCCCCCATCAAGTATCTCCAAATTTGTTCTTTCGCTCTTGCTTCACCTTCTAAATCCGTTGTCTGCAATGTCACTCCAGTGGCTGGAGGCCTATCGATCGCCACACCATCAGGGAAAATGCCTTGTTGATAAATTTCCTTCACTTCTTCAGTTTTGCTGTGAACTAATTTTCCTAGGCGAGCACGTGAGAAGTATGACACGACATGGAGCTCCCGTTCAATCTTCTGCAACTCATCATTCATCCTTTGCACATCACCAAGCCATTTCTCCACTTCTTTCTTTGCCACTTTCCTACGACGAACCTCTACTTCCAGTCTTGATTCTATATCTTCCTTTCGGATATTCAGATCATTCAATCTTCTTCTAAGATCATTCACACGTTCTGCAAGTTTCATGTGATTATCTAAGAATGTGCAAGTGGGTTCCCCTATGCACTTGATCACTTCAAAGATTAACCCAACAAACTCCATATAAGCTACCTCCTGTGATGCAAAATCAATGTAAATGGAAATATTTACCTGACTTGTAACGTTTCAAGTATGGAACAAAGACAAAACAAGCAAAGCCCAATAAATTGGCAAGTAAATCAAACATTTCTTAGACGATTGGTTTACATTTATGCTATCCCTGTTCTTGTTGTTCCTCCTCTCAACAAATACATATAATAATCAACATTACTTATTGTTTTTGTACTCTATATAAATCTTAGTTAATTTCATACAGGGAGTTACGTATCGGGTATATGTACTTGCATTTACGGGAGAAATTTTATAATGTCATGTCATCAATCTTGTACTTATACTCTTTCAAAATTAGATAAAATTCAAATTAAATTCATCTGTATGTAATTAATTATTTTTATGTACATATTTTCACTAGAAAATCTGCATTAATTCACCCACAAATTAAAATTTATACTTATATACATGAAATGTTGCTATAATGCAAGACTGTAAAGAATATGCCCAGAGATAAAAGGAAAATCAAGAGTAAGTAAGCAGCTTACCAAGTCTTGTAGGTTGATATTGCAGCAGTCCTCCAAAGGGGTTGATTGAGGGAGAAGCAAAAGCCAAGAAGAAAGCAAGTAGCAGATATTATTAATTTTCCTTACCAAATCCTAATCTTCGGTGAGAAAAAAGAATGAATTATGGAGCAAAAGAAATCAACAGTGGGCAAGTCAATGCAAGTGGTTGCCCGGCAACTGTCATGCTATCAAAGAAGGAAATGTGGAGGGAAGAAATATATAGTAAGCTTGATTGGGTTATCATATTTCGAAACGAAGTTGTACTTAGGGAAGAAAATAAAGAAAAAAAATGAGCCTAAGAGTACACAAATTCAATACTCCAAATTTATTATTGTTGATTGAATGGTCGTTCGGTTAGTTCGATTGAATATTAATTACAATGTTGTCGTCATTGATTTAATCATGCTCACTTCCAAGTTAATCGAACCATTTTAGCTGAATTTATTCAATTAATTTTATTAATTTGGTCTTTATCGAAAATCACTTGCCCTTTTGTTGGAATTGGTCTTCTATCCAAACTTTTTCCTTTGTGATGAAATTTAATTGCTATAAGTTAATCATGACATAGAACCGTATCAGCATGATTAAAAAATTCTTTGACCTCCATGAATGATGATGAACATGGTGATTGAAAGGATTAAACAGTGACTTACCCCTCATTGTCTCAAGAACATTTAAGAGTTAATTTTACTGTCAATTGTACTTGTGTTTGAGGTAAGTTCACAAGTTTATATGTTTGCAGTTCACTACATCCTGGAGAAAATTTGACAGCCCTAAACTTTCATCTTGAAGAAACAGTATATTAATGGCAGAACACTGATGCAAATTTACAGAACAACTATTTTTAAAGCCCAAATTACCAATTGAGGAGAAGGGTTGCAGTCAATCAGACAGAGAGGGGGATCGGTCCTAGAGAACCAAGATTCAGAAATGGCGTCTCTGTAACAGAGAAGCATGAGCTGAACAACACAACAGCCTAATTTTACAGCCGAGAACGAATGAAAATTCTTTTCCTGTCAGGATTCTGAAGACCCAAGTCCTTCATGTCTTGGGATGTCTTCTTCTTCTTCATAGGCTCCGATCCTGCAACAGGTTTGTCTGCTGTTTTACTTTGTTGCTTAACCTCATTCATGTCTTCCATCTTTGCTAATTGCATCTTCTCCATCAGTTTGTCATGTTCCGATTTCCTTTTGGCGTTTAACAAGGGTGGAGTTGGCTGAGCTTTGAATCTTTCCTGCAAAATCTCGTACAGTTTATTTCCCCCTGCGGTACTCGCACCAGAAAAGCCAAGAGGGTGGAACAAAATCATTGGCATATGAACAGTTGGTGGGCTAGAATAGATTTCATCAAACATTAAACAAAGAAATCAGAATAATCATATGGTCCAACTGATTGATGTAAAATTCCCATTAAGATGATGGATGGCTCCTGCTATGCAATTCATATCTGAAAACAGTAAAAGAGAGAGAGAGAGAACGAACCAGTGAAACCTTTGAGGGAGACATTGGCGGCTGAATCAACCGCGAATTTGCCGAGGTTGGTTAGGAAACGTCCAATCGTGTCACGGCGTTTGGCGTTCAGAACGTTGTCCACTACGTCGGTTCTGATGGTATCAGCCATGGTAGAAACCTTCGGAAACACAAGGACTCAGATTTTCTGTCTGTTGACGATGGTTTAATTAGCTAATTGACTTTCGGCCAATAAATAAAGGCCAGGAGCTATAAAGACCATAAGCTATTATTCTAGTTTAGTGGCCCACTGTTTCCTCCTGATTCCAGGTATCAAGGGCCTAAACCCAAACCAAAAGTAATAGCAACATTAAAATCAGGCACTGTTCCTCTTACCAAGTCTAGTAGCGTGATACTCCACCATTCCTCCACTTTTGTTCGCATCTGATTCCACGTATCAATGGCCTATACGCAAACCCAAAGTAATAGCAACACTAACATCAGGGAACGTTCCTGTTACCAAGTCTTGTAGCCTGATGCTGCACTATTCCTCCAATTTTGTTTCCTTTTGACTCCAGGTATCAAAGGCCTAAACCCAAGCCAAAAAGTAATAGCAACACTAAAATCAGGGAATGTTCCTGTTACCAAGTCTAGTAGCCTGATACCACACCATTCCTCCACTTTTTCAATTTATTCTAACTATATAATTCTTGTTTGATAATCGACTTTCTCTACCTATATATCAGACATTGGACAAACGCAAGACAATGTTGTTGTAGGAGTTTATGCAAAATTACTAGTTACAGGACAGGATTATCTAGAAATTACCACATAGAAACATAAACTGCTTAATGTGGTTTTACATTGACAACATAAAGTAAATTACTGAAATTGTTAAATGAAGATCACTCCAAGTCGAAGATTAATTGAAGGAATCACAAACCATGACTCCCTTTTTACACCAGATTCTCTCCAATTTTGGTGACTCAAAAAATGGCAATTGCCTAGGGTTGGGAAGAGCTAATGTTATGGTTGCATTACTTCCTTCTCCCTCATGATTCTCTTCCTCTTCTTCTGATGCTATTATTTCCTGCATTTCTTTGCATGAACTAACCAAAATCTCCTCTAGATGTTGAAGATCCTTCAAGAAGCCAGATGGCAACAACTTGTTGATACTAGTACTATGAGTTATACTAAATATCTTAAGACAGAAAAGCATGACAGGAGCTGCGGGTGTACGAGATGCACATGCAGCTGCTGCTCTCTTTATTTTCACGTGTACATGGAAGTTATTCATACTCAGAAGCTCTAGCTTCTCAAGTTTCTGAAATGGGGAGTAGGATGAGGTTGAGGAGGATAACTCAAGCACACAGTCCATTATTGACATGACCAAATATGACAGATTTCCTCAAGCCGGTTTCTTCTGGAAACAAAGAAATATCACAGACAAATTTCAGTGTTAGTTTTCTGAAGTAGTTCAAACACAAGCAAGGCATCCACTTCAATTTCAAGGTGTTGAAATCCCGAGATCTTTATTAAAGCAGACCATCCCTAAGACCCCAAAGTTCAGCTTGTAAGCTTGTTTAGAGTCCTAGGAAAGCAATTTCCTTGGAAAACACCTCCTGCACCTGCTATACCTGGGTTGCCTGAGTAGGAGCTATCAAAGTTTAACAAACATCAATAATAGAATTCCTTTCAAAACAGGGTTGGCAGAGACCAAGATGACTAAATTCAAGAGAGTTGGAAAATGTGGTAAGAAATTTTATGATTTAGAGTATAAAACAACCCATAAGCAAAAATATATCCCCAGGAGATCCTATCAACAAACTTTCAACTTTGAGCAAAATGACTTGTAAGTCATAGAATGGCCACAACAATCCAAAGGTATCTCTATTTCATTAGAAAAAAACAATCTACAATTATGGCTTCTTTGCCATCACAAACTTAAAATATACATACATGAATAAAAAAATTCGAAGACAAGATCTTTTTTAGAACTTTTTTGTAAAATGAACACTTTAAGCTTCACTAATTGACATTAAAACAACAGCTATAATCATCAATTCATCACAGAATTAAAAGGGTAACATAAAAATCATAGAAACAAAACAAGTAATCGAACAGAAAGGAACTCACTAGTGAGGCCCTAGTGGAAGATGCTCAAGCACATTTATTAGATAAAGACCTCTTCACCTGATATAAATACACGACAAGAAGCAGGCTTTAACTTCAAACAATCAGAAATCCTATATTCCAGAGAATCTACACGAATAGCAACTCCAGAACCACAAATGCTTTTCAATTCTGGTAAGTACTCCAAGTACAGTTTCCTTAATTTGGGATGAATAAATGTTGTTGTGTTGGGATCCGTCTGTTCTCCTTCCTCTTTTTCTGATGCTATTATTTCCTCCATTTCTTTACAAAATACAACTTTAAGTTCCTCTAAGTTTTGGAGGCCCTGCACCAACTCAAATGAAAACAACTTCTTCATACTTGAACAACTGTCCAAATAAAAATATTTAGGAGAAGAGAAGACGGAAGGCGGCGTCAGAGCCTGAGATGTAGATAGAGCTGCTACTCCTAGTCTTACAAGTTGACACAAGTTTTGCAATCGTTTAAGGTGTAGGGTTTCAATGCTCTGAAGTAGGTTGCAAGATGAGAATGACAAGTCAAGCAAGCACTGGATTCCTGTACACTGCCAAATATAACAATGCTTCAAATTATTGGCCTGATCATGGAACAAAAATGTATTGCTTAAGCATAGGAGATCATGGCATTCCTCAACATGCAGAGCCTCAAGGTCATTGGGGAGCAGTACAATATCTTGATCTCCCCTTATCCTGCAGTTAAACAAGTATACTTGTTTATGAATTTCAAGTTGCTCAAACTGCAGCCAGAACAAATAAACGTTTTGATGTCGACAAAACTCATAGAACTTAAGCCCATGTGATCCCACTAGAAGCAAGTAATTTGTAGGCCTTGGACCTGTCATAGACTCGGCAAAATTCTGAAAGTCTTGAGGCTCAGTGAATGAACCTGAAAATATCTCCAGCTTTGTCAATTTTGTTGCTTCCTCTCCTCTTACATAGGATGTAGTTAGCAAGTATTGGAGATGAGAAAGCTTAGCTAGCATTCCCATTGGTAACTCCTTTTGATTGTTTGAATGTAAAGCAAGATACGTGAGGTTTGCTAACATTTCCATACCATGAGGGACTTCTTCAATAGCTGTATGATAAAGGTCCAACTTTCTTAATGCTGTAAGCTTCCCTAACGAAGGCACATGTCTAAACTTGAAACAGAAACAAAGCACAAGAGCTTCAAGATTTTCCAAGTAGGAGATAGAGTTGGGCAGATATCGAATGTCAGTGCTAGAAAGATCGAGAGCCTTTAATCCATGCATGTGCTCGAAGAAAGACTCTGAAATCTTCTGCATTTCATGATTCTCTTGCAACAACAAGGTTGACAAAGAGTCACATTTCGGAGATATGCCCAAAGGAATTTCTGATATTGAATTATCCATCAAGGAAACCTTCTCAAGATCCTCAGTCCACTCATGCTCGCGTGGTAATTCCTTCAATTCCATTCCAGCTTTCACCATGAATTGAGGATAAGCATTTTTAAGAGACAATGCCATGTCTCTCAAAACATCATGCATCTTAACTCCTACACCATTGTCACCCTTCTCTAACAAACAATTCTTTTCAAGCTTATTCAAAATACTATGACCTCTGTCATGCATGGCCTGCCTACATCCACATTCATCAATGAGCCCCTCATCTATCCCATTTTCAATTCACATGCTCCTTGCAATTGTACAATCCTCCGGATATAAGGAGCAATATAAGAAACACTTTTGAATTTTTGAATCATCTAAATGATCATAACTAAACATCAAACATTCAAATGTTTCAGCGTCCAAACCTCTCATGCTTTTGACACGTTCACATAATTCATTAAGTGCATTCCTCCACTCATGAACATCATCCACCCCCTTCATGCTTCCAGCTATTGTCACAATAGCAAGTGGTAAACCACCACATTGATCAACAATAAGCTTCACAATTTCTTTCAAGGTAGGATGTTGTAAAACCCCATGCCCTACGTGTTTTAAGAATAAGTTCAAGGACTTCTCTTTTGAAAGATGTTGCACTTTAAACACCTTACAACCCATTGATAGACAAACATCAATTGATCTACTAGTGATCACTAGTTTCCTTCCATCATGTGTTGGTTCAGGGATTCCCACCTGCGATAGAGAAAATCGTTTCCAAACATCATCTAAGATCAAGACATATCTTTCTGTTTTCAAGATATCCATCAATTTAGTTGCTCGCTCCAATTCATTTTTGGGAAGACAATCCTTCATATCACATGCGGATGCAATATCTTCCTGCAATTTGACAACATTTAGTTCTTTTGACACAGTGACCCAAATCGCTTTATCAAATCTCCTTCAACAACTGATTGTTGATATGCTTCTTGATGGTAGTTTTCCCAATACCACCCATGCCACATACTCCGATCATCGCAACTTCATCACCCACCAAGCATTCCCAAATTTGTTCTTTTACATTAATTTCACCTTCTAGATGTGCTGTCTGCAATATTACCCCCCTAGTTGGCGGTCCATCAATTTTTACACCATCAACACCTTGTTGATGAATTTCTTTTACTTCTTCAATCTTTTGACCAACAAGTTTCCCGAGGCGGCCACTTGAGAAGTATGACACATCACATAACTTCTGTTCAATCGTTTGCATTTCGATATTTATCCTTTCTACATCTTCAAACCATCTCTCCACCTCCTTCCTTACCACTTTTCCACTACGAAGCTCTGCATCCTTTCTCAATTTAAGATCTTGCTTTCGAATACATAGACCATCCACTCTTCTTCGAAGATCACTCATGATTTCTTCAAGTTTTAGGTAATTATCCAAGTGTCTACAAGTTGGACCTCCAAAGCACTTTATCACTTCAAGGATTGGTCCTACAAGCTCCATGATAAGCTACACCCTGTAATACAAAACCAAATTATACTTAAAATGTTTGCTTCAGGTGTTATGTTTCAAGCACGTAACAAATAAAGACAAGAAGCAAGCAAAAGACTGTAGTTGCATCATGCATGAACTTCAGCAAATTCTTAGCAAGCAAATAGAAACTAAACAAATAAAGCAAGCTTACAACTGAGAAGTATTTACATGGTACTACTGTTTTAAATCATGGGAAGAATGAGCTTGAGAAAGTAGAAAAACAATGAAGTTCTGCTTTATTATATACTGTTTAATTTATTGCAATTTTTCTTTCAAGTAAAAGAATTCCAATCAAACCAATGAGAAACAGAAGATTTAACAGCTGGTTTGCTGGAAGTTTCTTCTTCAAGCAGAGTGGGAAGCAAGGAGTAATTAACTTTTTAGGTGCAAATCCTATGTGGGGCCAATAATAAAAACACTGATGGAGAGGGAAGGAAAATCAGTAATCTAATACAAGCGAAAGGAATAGTGGAAATGGGTATATCTAACTACTTTATGCAAGAAAAGTGCCAAGGCCTAGGCTTATTCCTTTCTAGTTATTCTGATTATTTTCAGTGTAACTTAATTGGAAGAAAAAGGACCTATAAAAGATAATGGAAACTAAGGTAGTAATTACTTAATGGAACTTGTGGAAAGATCAAATAATGCCACAATGCAAAATCCTATGGAATGGGTAAAGACCCGCACCTAACTTGTAAGGTATTGTTCGTGATTTTATTAAATGCCCGGCAACTATAAGTTTGAGTATTTTTATATATACCATAACAGATTCCCAGAAATTCCCACATTTGGAGCGTTACAGAATGTGCTTGAAGATGAAAGAAAAATCAAGAGTAGCTAGTTTACCAAGTCTAGCAGGCTGATACAGCACCAATCCTCCAAAGGTGTTCAGTTCCAAATCTGGGAAAGAAAGCAAGGAACTGAAGTCAAAAGATAACAAAGTAACAACTAGCAGATCTCCTTGCCAAATCCTAACCCTTTCTCTGTGTGTGAAAAGAAATTGAATTATGGAGCAAAAGAATTACTGTTAGATTGACGGAGTCTAGCTAGAAAGTCTCATGTGAATATGGTATATCTCCACAATCAAATGATATGATGAACTTTGAAATTTTACATGTCTGTTCATCTTAGAGATTTTTCCAAGTCAAAGCCTCAGAAAAGAAAAATGCAAGACAAGCTCTCCCCTGAATTAATAAACAATTAAATTCCAAGAAAAATGGTACACCCAAGCATTTGATTCAATGCATGATCCGTGCCTAAAAAGCAGAATTCTAATTCCCTTCCCTCAATTAAAAAAAAAATTCCAAGAAAAATAGTAACCAAGCACCTGGGTTGATCAGCTGATAAGTCTTAAGGATCCTCGATTAGACAAACAAGCAATGCTAAGTAAATTAAGTGAGCATAATCCAAGACTGTAAGAAAATGCCCAGAGATAAAAAGGAAAAGCAATAGTAAGCAGTTTACCTAGTCTTGTAGGTCGATATTGCAGTAGTCCTCCAAAAGGGTTGGTTGAAAATCAGTGGAAAGGAGGAGGGAGGGGTAAAAACCAAGAAGAAAGCCACTTGCAGATATTAATTTCCTTACCAAATTAATCTTAATCTTCTGTGAGAAAAGAATGAATTAAGGAGCAAAAGAAATGAACGGTGGGCAAGTCTACGCAAGTGATTGCAGTGGTTGCCAGGCAACTTCCTGCTATGAAAGAAAAAAGTATGATTGATTGGGTTGACGTTCATCAATGGCAGTTGTTATACTTTGGCCAAAAGCAATTATACACTATCATGCTTTTCCATCTATGATCTGATTGGTAGAATTTGAATTACATGAACAGACAGGACAAAGTTTCAAACTTCATTATATCATGTGTCGGCCGCAATCACATGTTCTGGTTGGACTACAGCTGTCTAATAGTAATTCTTTTGCTCCATCATTCATTTTCTTCTCACAGGGAAGAGAGAGGGTTAGGATTTGGCAAGGAGATCTGCTAGTTGTTAAACTTTGTTATCTTTTGGCTTTAGTTCTCTGGTTTGTTTCCCTGATTTGGAACTGAAACATCTTTGGAGGATTGGTGCTGTTTCAGCCTGCTAGACTTGGTAAACTATCTACTCCTGACTTTTCTTTCATCTTTAAGGACGTTCTGAACATTCCTTATCATTCCAGGTATCAAAGGCCTAAACCCAAACCAAAAAAGTAATAGCAACACTAAAATCAGGGAATGTTCCTGTTACCAAGTCCAGTAGCCTGATACTGCACCATTCCTCCAATGGCTTTTGGTTGAAACCAGGGAAAGTAGCAGAGACTAAAGCCAAGAAGATAACAACTAGCAGATCTTCCTGCCCAAACCTCCCAGTGAGAAGAGAATGACTTATGCGGTAAAAAGGATTACTATTAGGCAGTTGGAGTCCAGCTTGAAACTCCTGTGTGACGCATTATAAGTTGATTGTTGGCAATCATTATTACACATTTTGGCCAAATTGGAGAGTAATTAACTCCTCAACATTCACAAGATAGCATGAAGTTAGAAAAGCATAAAAAAAACATTTAACAAGAAACCATAGGTGAAAATAAGACAATAATAACACAAGTATTTACGTGATTCAACTTTAAATCTTACTTCCATGGAAACAAAGAAAATTTTCACTATAATCAAAGAAGATGAAGAATACAATAAATTTGGACATCCAAAATTATAATCAAAGAAGATGAAAAGTAATCAAACAGAAAAGAACTCAGTGGTGGGGCCTTAATGGAAGATGCTGATGCACCATTTAATCAGACAAAGACCTTTTCACCTGATATACAGAAACAAGAAGGAAAAGGCTTTAGCTTCTGACAATGATGAATCTTATAGTCAAGAAAATCTACATGAATGGTAACTCCAGAACTACAAACGCTCTTCAATTCTGGTAAGTTCAACAAGCGCAGTTTCTTTAATTTGGGAAGAACAAAAGTTGTTGTTTCGGGAACCATTGGTCCCCCTACGTGATTTCCTCCTCCTCCTTCTTCTTCTTCTTCTGATGTTATTATTTCCTCCATTTTTTCACAACATACAACTTCAAGTTCCTCTAAGTTTTGGAGGCCCTGCACCAACTCAATTGAAAACAATTTCTTGATACTTGAACAGCTTTCTAAATAGAAAACTTTAAGAGAAGAGAAGATGGCAGGCAGTGTCGGACCCTGAGATGTGGACATTGCTGGGACTCCTACCCTCACAAGTCGACGCAAGGTTTGCAATCGTCTAACGTGTAGGGTCTCAATACTCTGAAGTAAGTTGCAAGACGAGTATGACAAGTCAAGCAGGCACTGTATTCCATTACACTGCCAGATATAACAATGCTTCAAATCATTTACCCGATCATGGAACACAAATGAATAGCTTAAGCTTAGAAGATCATGGCACTCCTCAACATGCAGAGCCTCAAGGTCACTGGGGAGCACTACAGGATCTTGATCTCCCCTTAACCTGCACTTAAAGAAATATACATTTTTATGAATTTCATGTTGCTCAAACTGCAGCCAGACTAAATAAGGCTCTCGATGTCGAAAAAACTCAAAAACCCCATATGATCCCACTAGAAGCGAGTAATTGATAGGCCTTGCACCAGCCATAGACTTGATATATTTCTGAAAGTCTTGCGGGTCAGGGAATAAACATGAAAATATCTCCAGCTTTCTCAATTTTGCCATTTCCTCTCCTCTTACATACGATGTAGTTACTAAGTACTGGAGATTAGCAAGCTTAGGTAGTATTCCCATCGGTAACTCCTTTAGGTTTTCAGAATCTAAAGCAAGATAGGTAAGGTTTATTAACATTTCAGTACCGTGAGGGACCTCTTCAATAGCTGTACAATAAAAGTCCAACTTTCTTAATGCTGTAAGCTTTGCTATCGAAGGAACATGTCTTAACTTCAAACAAGAGCGAAGCACCAGAGCTTCAAGATTTTCCAAGTAAGAGATGGAGTTGGGCAGATATCGAATGTCAGTATAAGAAAGATCAAGAACCTTTAATCCAGGCATGCGCTCGAAGAAAGGTTCTGCAATCCTCTCCATTTCGTGATTCCCTTGCAACAACAAGGTTGACAAAGATTCACATTTCGGAGATATGCCCGGAGGGATTTCTGATATTGAATTATCCATTAAGGAAACCTTCTCAAGATCCGCTGTCCACTCATGCTCGCGTGGTAATTCCTTCAGTTTCATGCCAGCTTTCACCATGAATCGAGGATTAGCTTTTTTAAGAGACAATGCCATGTCTCTCAATACATCATGCATCTTGACTCCTCTACTATGCACACCCTTTTCTAACAAGCAATTGTTTTCCAGCCTATTCAAAATACTATGACCTCTGTCCTGCATGGCCTGTCTACATCCACATTCATCAACGAGTCCTTCATCTATCCATTTTTCAATTAACATGCCCCTTTCAATTGTATAATCCTCCGGGTATAAAGAGCAATATAAGAAACAATTTTGAATTTTCGAATCACCCAAACGATCATAACTAAACATCAAACATTTGAATATTTCGGTATCCAATCCTCTTACACTTTTCACACGTTCACATAATTCATATAGTGCATTACGCCACTCGCGAACATCATCCACACCCTTCATGCTTCCGGCTATCGTAACAATGGCAAGTGGTAAACCACTACATTGATCAACAACAAGCTTCACAATTTCTTTCAAAGCAGGATCTTGCAAAACACCCTGCCCTACATGATTTAAGAATAAGTTCAAAGACTCCTCCTTTGAAAGAGGTTGCACTTTAAGCACCTTACAACCCATAGATAGACAAACATCAATTGATCTACTAGTGATTACTAGTTTGCTTCCATTGTGTCTCGGTTCAGGGATTCCCATTTGCAATAGAGAAAACTGTTTCCAAACATCATCTAAGATCAAGACGTATCTTTTCGTTTTCAAGATATCTATCAATTTTGTTGCTCGCTCCAATTCATTTTTGGGAAGAAGATGCTTCATATCACATGCAGATGCAATATCTTCTTGCAATTTGACAACATTTAGTTCCTTCGACACAGTGACCCAAATCACTTTATCAAATCCAGCCTCCTTCAACAACTGATTATTGATATGCTTCATGATGGTAGTTTTCCCAATGCCACCCATACCACATACTCCAATCATAGCAACATCATCACCCATCAAGTATTCCCAAATTTGTTCGTTTACATTAATTTCACCTTCTAGATCTGTTGTCTGCAATATTACCCCCCTAGTTGGTGGTACAGCAACTGTCACAACATCAAGAAATTTGCCTTGTTGATGAATTTCTTTCACTCCTTTAATCTTTCGACAAACAAGTTTCCCAAGGCTTCCACGTGAGAAGTATGACACATCACATAACTTCTGTTCAATCGTTTGCATTTCGATATTTATCATTTCTACATCTTCAAGCCATCTCTCGACTTCTTTCTTTACCACTTTTCCACTACAAAGCTCTGCATCCTTTCTCAATTCAATATCCTTCTTTCGAATATTTAGACCATCCACTCTTCTTCTAAGCTTACTCATGTTTTCTTCAAGTTTTCGGTGATTATCCAAGTATCTACAAGTTAGACCACCAAAGCACTTTATCACTTCAAGGATTGGTCCTACAAGCTCCATTATGAGCTACACCCTGTAAGGCAAAAGACTGTCGTTGCATGAACCTGAGCAACTTCTTAGCAAGCAAACAGAAACTAAACAACTAAACAGAAAATATAAAGGCTGGTTTGCAGGAAGTTTATTCTTCTAGCAGAGTGGGAAGCACAAGGGCTAATTAACTTGTTAAGTGCGAATCTTGTGTGGGGGAAATAAAAAAAAATGATGGAAATGGAAGGAAAGTCAGTAATCTAAGGAAATGGGTATATCTAATTACTATATGCAAGAGAATTACCGAGGCCTAGGATTATTCCTTTCTAGTTATTCTGATTATTCTCAGTGTAACTTAATAGGAAGAAAAAAGAAACATATAAAGGATAATGGAACTTGTGGAAAGATCAAATATTAATAATCAATGATCTTTGATTAGACAAACAAGCAATGCTAAGTAAATCAAGTGAGCATAATGCAGTACTGTAAAGAAAATGCCCAAAGGTAGAGAGTTTTACCAAGTCTTGTACGCTGATATTGTAGCAGTTCTCCAAAGAGGTTAGTTGACTATCAATGGCAAGGAAGGAGAAGCAAAAGCCTAGAAGAAAGCAACTGGCAGATATTTCCTTAACCAAATCCTAATCTTCTGTGAGAAAAATGAGCAAAAGAAATGAACAGTGGGCATGTCAACGTCAGTGATTGCAGTAGTTGTCCGGCAACTCTGAAGTACAATGATTTTAATCCTCAAAGTCAAATGTCCTTTAGAATGCGACATGTGGCATTGTAAATTGCCTGTTGCATGGAGGGTAACAACACAATTTCCTAGTTCAATGTTCTGGAGAGAATCACAGACCATGACTCCCCTTTTACAACAGATTCTCTCCAATTTTGGTAACTCAATGTTATGGTTTCATTACTTCCTTCTCCCCTTGTGATTCTCTTCCAGTACTTCTTCTGATGCTATATTGTTTCCCCCATTGGCACGAACTAACCAAAAATCTCCTCTAGATTTTGAAGATCCTTCAAGAAACCAGATGGAAACTAAGTTCCTGATACTAGTATTATGAGTTTATACTAAATATCATAAAACAGAAACAGATGCCAGGAGCTGCAGGTGCAGCTGCTGCTCTCTTTACTTTCACAAGTACATGGAAGTTATACAAACTCAGAAGCTCTAGCTTCTCCAGTTTCTGAAAGGAGAGCAGGATGAGGTTGAGGAGGATAATTCAAGCACATATGACAGATACTCTATCAATTGACATGACCAAATATGACAGATTTCCTCAAGTAGGTTTCTTCTTGAAACAAGAAATATCAGGACAAATTCCAATACCATCTCAGGATAAACCTCCTGCACACAAACCTTATATGCCTGCTCTTCAACTCTCAGTTCAATTGTTTCATCTATTTTTCTCCATTTTAAGTTTATGCTAATACCAAGCCTGGACCAGATTGAGGCAACGAGTCCCCATTTTCTCTCATGTCAAGCATGAGCAACTGACATACTTTAAAATGGAACTTTAGAAGCACTCAAGGTCAAGGGTTTAACATAAATCAAGTTGAAAAAGAAAAATGTCCGCCCCATGTATTTTTTGCATTTAACTGTATGATTACAAAAATGTTGTCTTGGGATTTCAAAGTAATGAAGCAGAAATAGCATCATAACTGTTTAAGAATTTACAATGAATTACAGGATGGTATTATCCAGCAAACCATCACATAGAAAGATAAACTGCTTAATGTGCTTTTGCATTTACTTCATAACTAAATTACAGAAATGAACAAGCATTGATTGAAGTTCTTCCCAAAAGATGGATTGAAGAGAGCCTGGTGATTTAGAGAACCTTTGAACCAGGGCTTGGAGAAATGAATTCACATGGCTGGAGAACCTAACAAAAGTTCAAAGTCACAAAAGTGATCAGTTTTTAAAACCAAGCAGAAAAAGACTCATAAAAAGCGAACTGAATCATATGTTCTATTACTTACAGTACACATAAAGTTCCTCTTTTTAGCTGATTGATGAAACACCATTGCCCTTAATGCATTAACATTGTTGGGGAAATTGGTTTTGGTGATGGAATTTCTTCAATGAATTGACAGAGAGGTAAAAAGACGTTCTTAGCGTTGGGATGATCCCACTTCAATGATTCCCGCCATCTTTTTGGAGATACCTCAATTAGTTTGAGAGAAGGAGGAAGATATAGCTGGCCATTGTCTAGCAAGGGTAGATGCAGAGGGATCCTCTTCAGGTTCCTACATTTCCGTATTTCAATATTCTGAAGAGAAGCACAAACCATGACTCCCTTTTCACAACAGATTCTCTCCAATTTTGGTAACTCAAAAAACGACAATTGCCTTAAGTTGGGAAGAGCAAATGTTATGGTTGCATTACTTCCTTCTGCCTTGTGATTCTCTTCCTCTTCTTCTGATGCTATTATTTCCTCCACTTGTTCGCAAGAAACAACCAGTATCTCCTCTAGATTTTGGAGATCCTTCAACAAACCAGATGGAAACAACTTCTTGATACCATTACATTGACTTATACTAAATATCTTAAGACAGAAAAAGATGCCAGGAGCTGGAGGTTCAAGCAACGCAGGTGCAGCTGCTGCCCTCTTGACTTTCACAAGTATACACAAGTTACACAAACTCAGAAGCTCTAGCTTCTCAAGTTTCTGAAGTGGGGAGTACGATGAGGTTGAGGAGGATAAGTCAAGCACGCACTCTATCTCTTGACATGACCAAATATGACAGATGCTCAAACTGGTTTCTTCTTGAAACAAAGAAATATCAGTTAAGCTCTTCACGCCGTAGCAGCATTCAATCCACAGAAGTTGAAGGTCCTTTGGGAGCACAACAGGATCTTCTCCTCCTATGTTGCAGTCTTTTAAAATCACATCTTTGTAATATTTACTAATTCCCCTATGAGGTCCTGGAACTTGTCCAACTACAAGCTGGTAATAAGTAGGAAATTCAGCCTTTACGGAACACACATATTTATTGAAGTCTTTAATCTCGTAGAATCCACCTGAAAAAGTCTCCAACTTCCTCAATCCAACTGCATCTTCTCCTCTTAAACAACCAATGAGTACGAAGTACTGGAGATGTGAAAACTTAGGTAGTATTCCCTTTGGTAGCTCTTTCAAACCCCATATATGTAAATCAAGGTATCTGAGATTTATCAACATTTCCATACCATGAGGAACCTCCCTGATCCATGTACCATGAAGATCTAACTTCTTCAATGCCCTAAGCTTTGCCAATGAAGGCATATGGGTAAGCTTGTCACATCCATAAAGCAGTAATGCAGTGAGGTTTTCTAAACTAGACACAGAACAAGGAAGGCCAACAATACCAGTATCGGAAAGATTTAGAGTCTTGAGTTGCTGCATCTGCTGAAAGAAAGTTTCTGGAATTTTCTTCAAAGTATGATTTCCTTGCAACAGCAACGTTGAAAGAATTTGACATTTTGGCGACATCTTGGGAGGAATCTCTGAAATTGTATTATTCATCAAGGAAACCATCTCAAGCTCCTCTTTCCATTCTTGCTCAATTGGTACCTCCTTCAATTGCATGCCAGCCTTCACCATGAGCCGAGGACAAAAATCTTTGGAAAGCAACAGCATATCTCTCACAACATCAGCCATTATCACAGTTTCTCCATCATCAGCCCTATCTAATAAACAAATCTCCTCAAGTCTATTGATAATAGTGTGACCTTTTTCATACATTGTTCTTCTACTTCCCAACTCATCAATAAGCCCCTCAGCCATCCAATACTCTATTAACTCATTCCTAGAAATTCTGCAATCTTCAGGGTATAAAGCACAATATAAGACACATTTTTGTATGTTTGGATCTTTCAAGCTATTGAAACTAAAATTCAAATGATTAAGCATCAGAGTCTGCATGTCTTTCGCACGTCTTGAACATGCACATAATTCTCTGAGTAGATTTCTCCAGTCACAAACATCATCTACTCCCTTCATACTACTAGCAATTGTGATAATAGAAAGAGGTAAGCCAGAAAAATGCTCAACAACATGCTTCACAAGTTTTTCTAAGGTTGGGGCTAGCAGTATGCCATGTCCCACCTTATCTAAGAACAAGTCCAATGATTCCTCCTTTGAAAGAGGCTGCACCTTGACTACCTCACATCCCATAGATTGACATACTTCAACAGATCTACTTACTAGTACTAATTTGCTTCTGCTATGTGCTGGTTGAGGGATTCCAATGTCCTTAAGGGAAAAATTTTCGTGGACATCATCTATAATCAGCACATATCTCACTCTTCCCAAAATTGTCAATAATGCTGCTGCCCTCTTTGATATATCCTCATCTTGTGGAAGACGTTTTCGCATAGCAGATGCGATGTCATGCTGTAATTTGACAACATTTAATTTTCTAGACATGGTAACCCATAGAACTTTATCAAACTTGTTCTCCTTCAACAGTTGAATTTTAATATGCATCATTATGGTGGTTTTCCCAATTCCCCCTATCCCACAGACTCCAATCATTCCAACTTCATCACCCATCAAGAATCCCCAGATTGTTTCTTTAACTGTTGGTTCACCTCCTAGCTTCATTGTTGGCAATGTCGCTTCACTGGTGCTAGGTTTATCAGTGAATAGACCTTGAACAAAACTACCTTGCTGATAAGTTTCCTCTACTGCTTGAATCTTTCGGCCAACAAGTTCACTGAGGCGCTTGCATGAGAAATATGACATAGCCTCTAGGTCTTGTTCAACAATTTGTGCTTCATTGTTGATTGCTTGCACCTGTTTGAGCCAAATCTTCACTTCTCTCTTTGCTATTTTTCCCATGTGAAGCCCTTCATCTATTCTTGTTTCTACATCCTCCCTTAAGATCTTTAGCTTATCCAATGCTCTTCTAAGAACTTGAATATCTTCATGAAGATTTCTTTTCTTTCCTTGATCAGTCTTAAAATTTCTATAAAAATCTAGTAAAAATCTGCGGATTGTTGGAGCCCCAGCACCTAAAAGATCCATAAGCAAGTCCCTACAATATAATATTCGTAATTTGCATTAAAACACTTGCTAACAAAGCAAAACATCTTGAATGAATCACTTGTGCAGAAAAGTGGTTCAGCAAATTCTTAGCAAGCAAACAGAATAAAAATAAATAAATTCAGAATCATAACAAAAAACCAAAATCTGGTATGGCTCAACTTTACCATCTGCTTTGTAAATGTTCAACTGCTTTCTTATTTTCTTTGTTTTGCTAACTGCTATCTTTCTTGTGTCATTACTTTAGGTACAATATTTAAGTATAGATTTTTAGCTATTTAATTTTGCATGAAAGAAAGCAGCTCCATTTACATATATCTAACAGTTATACATTCAGCATTTTATAAATGATCTACCTGGTGGTCCTGGCCTAACTGGATTGTCTTTTTCTGCTCGTGTTTGCCTTGACGTTGATGAAATTGAATGATTAAAGAGCAAGGGGATATGAAACCAAGATATCTCAAATAGAAGAACTCACCAAAATGCAGATTCTCTTCTATAAGAGTATACAGTGACAAAACTTTCTTGCTAGATGGTAATCTTTTGGTAGGGAGAAAGAAAACAGCAAGAAAAGGATCATTCTGAAGTGCTACTGTCTTAAAATGAGAACGAATCAACAAAGCAAGGTATTTAATGGCCAATGTGGCATAGGAGATGGCAAGGAAAAGAACAGAATCTGCTTCAAATTAAGAAGCCAAGAAAAATCTGAGGTTTTCTTCCAAAGTATGTTTTGAACCTCCTATACTTTTTTCAACCAATAGTTTTTGCCGCAACTATTGAAACTGTTTACATATAATCCTCACCATAAATTATGATTATACTTATGTGTAAATTGTCCTGATGGTACAACTTTGTTCGACAGTAGATGAATTTATGCAGCTTTCTTAGACAGGCTGAGCAAGTAGGTTGTATATATGGACCTGAGAAAATCAGTCTTGGAGAGAGTAGACACTGGTACCCCAACAAATTGTAGGAAAACTTCAAACTGGATCACATTTTTACATGATAAAACAAGTAATTTCATTTGTATAATCATGCTTCCCAGATATTAAACCAAATATCAAGAGTTTAAATGAAGGGGTTGGTCGATACTCAATCCTTATGCAGTAGTAGTGCAGTAGCAGAATCCAACTACAAACCATGCACTGGTAACAAATCTGAAAAATCTCATTTGTGGAAACCCCTCGGCATAATTACTCTCCTTTTGTTAGTTTCTGGCTCATCTTCTCTTCATTTTTGTGAAGCATAATTATTTTCATTTAGTTTCTTAAGTTCGAAATATATATATATATATATACACACACACACACACACATCTGAAGTTATGGCACAAATTGCAAACTGCTCAGCCCCTTGAGCATTATCATCCAGAAAATGTAAGAACCATCTTATGTCCACAATGAGGAAAGATGGAAATTCTTTGTACAAGAACATTGTTCAGTTCTCCAGCCTTCCTGTGCATATAATTATCATTAACACCATCTATTCTAGAAAATCTATATCAGTGTGCAGGTTCCTTTCTTTCTTTTGTTCTTTTTTCTTTTTCTTCATTTCTTTTGGTTGTCTCCACTATGAATAGAAGAAAAATATGTGATAATTGTTAAAGATGAAACCCTGTTGACAGTCAAGGACCTACCAATTATCTCTTATTTTGTTTGTTCAGGCACAGACTGGCACTGGCAGACATTTAGCTTAAATGCTTGCTAAGGGGCAAGGGAATGAATGTTGGTTCCATATACAGAAAGTTGCATAATATTAAACAAGCAATGCAAATACAAGTCATTAGTTGCATATACAGGTCAATTAGAGGCCCAAACCACAGATGAATTACAATAACACACATGAATTTGTCCCACTTACAATGAAAACGTTTTTATATCTTACTGGCAAAGGCAAGACCTTCCTTTTTCAGTTGATCTAAGTTCTCAACTCGAGGTTGGAGCCTAGCAATTTTTGCCATAGCCTTGTTCTCTTCAGGGGTTCCACCCTCTAGGAAAGCTCCTACCACCTTTCCATCTTTGATCCAGAAAGACCCAAACTTAGGTTTTGGTGATGATGGATTGTTGTCTCCAAAAAACACAGTGTCACCAACATTGTCTCCATAGAACTGCCATGACAGGTTAAAGGAACGAGAGTAAAAGTATGGAAGGTAATCATACTCTTCGATTTCTTTCCCTGTTTCACTCGCCTTAATAGCCTTGACAGCCTGCTCAGCGGATTTGCGGGCATGGTCAACATGCTCAACTCTCCTCACCTCATTATACAGTTTAATTGGGAAGGCAGCCACATCTCCCACAGCATACACACCAGGCATGCTTGTCTTGAAGAATTTATCAGTTTTGATTCCACCTTTCTCCTCTTCAACCTGCCCTTTGAACAATGTGGTAAGGGGTCTTGCCCCAACACCGACAACAACAATGTCAGCTTCAAGCACCCTGCCATCGTTAAGTTTCACTCCTGTCACCTCTCCATTGCGATTAGCATTGAAGCCAACTGCCACTGTTCCCTTGATAATTTTGATTCCTTTATTTGCATAATAACGTTCATAAAAAGCAGCTATAGCTGGGGTGAAAAGCCGAGGCATGCACCAAGGCTCCGGATAAATCATGCTGACATCAAAATTGTTGATTCTCATAGCTGCTCCAACTTCGAGACCAATGTATCCTCCTCCAACAATCACAGCCTTTCCAGTCTTCTTTGTTTTCATTGATTCTGCAAGTTCATCAGCATCTTCAAGTTCTCTCAGGTAGAAGATGTTCTTGGCATCAGCTCCTTCTACCTTGAAATCTGTCAACCTAATTACTGTGGAACCAGTTGCAATTATCAAAGTCTGATACTTAAAGGTTTCTCCTGCAGCACTTATCAGAGTCTTAGAACCAAGATTTACTTTCACTATTTCTGTACTAAGGATCAATTGAATTCCTTTTTCTTTATACCACCCAGGAAGCAATCTCTCTCCTCCACTTCCAACACAGACATGGAACTCAGGCAGTCTTGCAGCTCCCGTAGGATTTAGATATCCCTTGCTCAGTGCAGGACGTTCGTAAGGAGCCACAGCCTCTTTGGAAATAATTGCCAACTCCCCTGGCTTAAGACCCTGTCTATCAAACTCCCTAGCTGCATATCCTGCTGCAACTCCACCACCAACGATAATGTACCTGAAATACTTTACCAAGCCAAGAAAGGTTTTACCTTTCTTAAGAAATGCCTTGAGTTCCACAACCTTAACCTCAACCTTCTTTCCTAGGAATGCATCTGAGAGGAATTTCTTTTCTCCTGCCTTTCGTTCAATGACTTCAGTTTCACTTTTGATCCTCTGGACATCCTCTAGCCAGTTTTTGACTTCTTCTGTTTGCATTGTCCCAGCATAACACTCTGCACTTATTCTTAGTTCAATATCTTCCTTAAGACTGTTTAACTCTTCCGACAGTCGTTTCATTATCTTCATATTTTCCTCAAAATTTTTTTTACAGTTCAAACATTGTTCAAAAGAGGCAAAGATTATCCTCAGACTTTCAAAAAATGGGTAGAACAAAGCCATAGACGAATATCTGAAGAATACCTGAAATGCACTAGTAAGGAAATAGTAGCTCAGAATGCAGCTCCAGAACTGGTAAAGATGTACTAATACAAACAAACTCTATCTTTAGTTGGTTATTTCTAAATATTTAAGTTTACGAACAATCTTTAGAAAGTCCAAGTAAAAAATTCTAGTCATGGAGGTAATGATACATGACTGTAAGTTGATCAGATATAGAAAATATGATTAAAAAGATTATGACAATGGAAGAGACTTGAGTACATCCCAATGTCTACATCTCTGTACCCATGATTCTGCATTACATGTATGCAGTTAAAACATTAAAATGCTTTGTCAATGTCTGCCAATCAAGAAACTCTACTAATTGTCATTATACTATGGGTTAATTAGCAACTGCTGCAGGCAAACTGAGAAGAAAGGCTTTCAGAAAATTAGCCTGGATTTGGAAGGTTATGCATATTATGTATTAGCTGTAATGAAAAACAATCCTTACTATTAGCATGCTAATCAAGTTTCATTCCATGCATTAAGTTATATTGAATCAAATCTATTGCAATTCAAAAGTCATTTAATTCCAAATAGCACAACTAGAAGAGGATAATCAAGTTTGTTCTCATGAATTAGAAAAGTCCTACTGATCTCCAGCACACAATTATCAGTATCTTCATAGCTACTAAAAGTAGTTGTATTAGAGAATATCAAGTAAAAACAGAACTCCTAAAGATAAAAGAAAAGAACTCAACAAGAACATAGAGGACAAATGGAGTAGAACTTATCTTCATGGATAAATACGTAAACCTGTTTTCAAGCAATGATTTAGAAGAAGGGTATTTACCTGCCGTTCGTGGCTAAGAGTAATCCAAATTGCCTTGAAGAGAGAAACAACAGAAAAGCCAAGAAGATAACAAACAGCAATTGTGAATGAGAGCAGAAATGAAAAGGTATGTGAAGATTCAAGCTAAAAGCTTTGCTTCTTTTATAAGGAAAGTGAAGCATGTAGCAAATTGAAAAATCACTGAGGCAAGGTATCGGATGCAACATGCATGAGAAAGAAAAGCATGCAATTAGAAAACCAAAGGATCATGAGGTTGAAACTGTTTAGTACTTTAGTTATTACCACCATGCTTCTTCTTAACAGAAGGCAAAGACAGCCTTTACATAAAGTATCAATCATCAAAAATTCCTTCCTCTA